AGTTAATCTAATAGCCTATTTCCTCCAAAGGCTTAACTGCAGTTAAGAGCTCAGATAAGTACCAATTATTTTAACATGAGGCAATTGGCAATGTTTATTTCTTACTTTTGCTGACTTTGCTTGTACCTAATGTGACAATTACCCCGTTCGAATGATAATCTCGTTTTTCCACTGGGCATAAACTGCATTTAAGGCTTGGTGGAAAGCCCCTCTAAGACAATATATTGTTCATGTTGACACCTACCTAGTTATCAGTTTATCGGATTAAAAAAATAATAATTTCTATTGTATTTTATCGTTGTAAACTGAATAAAAAATATAGCCACACAATTAAACTAATGAAATTTCAGGCTTTTCCAGGCGGCGGCGATATGATTTTAGATTCAGAAATAATATTGGTGGATACAGAAACGGGGAGCTTGCTTCCATTTGGTACACTAGGTGCCCATAAAAAGAAAGAGTTTGCACACGCGGAAGTGTGTATTTTCACGTTTGACTGTTTGTTGTATAAGGGAGAAGATTTGACGAACACGTATGTAATTTGTATTTTCGATTACAAATACTTAAACTCAACATAATTTATGCTTTCTATTTAGCCCATTTCATAAACGCCGAAAAATATTGGAGGAACATATTGCGCCTATCAAATATTGTGTTGAACTTTCAGAAAGTAAATTTCTGAAAACAAAAAACGAACTATCTATTATGACTGCCAAGGTAATAAGTAGGAAATACAAATATTGTATTTGCAAGATTTATTAAAATTACTTAACGTTTGCATCTGCATTGTCAAGGTCTTGAAGGCGAATCTCGAGGGTGTGGTTCTTAAGAATCCAAATGGCATTTACCAACCTGGCAAGCGTGGTTGGCTGAAGGTGAAAAAAGACTACCTCTTCGGGGGCAAAATGGCAGACTCTGCAGATTTGGTTGTATTGGGTGCTTGGTATGGTTCTGGCAAGAAAGGCGGTATATTAAGCATTTTCTTAATGGGTTGTTACGATAGTACTGATAGGCTCTGGAAGACTGTAACAAAAGTTCATTCTGGCCTGGACGATTCAGAAAACGAAAGAGTCCACGAAGAGCTTATGACCCTGATGGAACGTGCCGATCCGAATAGAGTACCCTCATGGCTGCTTTGCAAAAGAGCTCTGGTGCCAGATTATATCGCAAAAATACCCAATAAAATGCCTGTTTGGGAAATAACAGGAGCCGAATTTACTAAATCGGAAGCGCACACAGCTGAGGGAATTTCAATACGATTTCCTCGTATAACGAGATTACGTGCTGATAAATCTGCAGATCATGCTAACGATTTAAAATATCTTCAAAAACTATATGATGCTTCTAAAAAGGATGTTAACGTCGATTTATTACTGTCCAACTGTGACGATGAAGATGGGGGAGGAAAACCTAAGATTGAAGAAATTGAATCTAAAATAAACCTTACGCCAAAGAAAAAATCCAAGACCGAAAATGACGATGATGACATACCAGGAAGCAGCGGTAATATGAAAAGGAAGAGTACTGAGATGGAAAAAGAGTTTTGTAATAGTAGCAAGAAAAGAAAAACGCAGAGCCCAAATATGAATGGAGAAAAATCGAAAACTATAGTAAAGGTGGAAGGAAAACAGACCAAATTAGATTTCAGTTCTCACGTCAAGGGGGAAAACAAATTTAGTGATTTTTTGAAGAAGGAATCGCCAGCCGGTGATTGTAGTACCGATTTGCCCAAAAAGAGCGATATTTTTAAAAATTTAATAGCATATTTCGAAGATAAAATTAAAGATGATAAACTGAAATCATCCTTCGTTTCAAATGGAGGTGTAGTAACCGAAAATTCCCAAAATGCAAACATAGCATTTTATTCAACTACAAAACTTGATAAAGATTTGGGTGAAATCAGGCAAGCATAATTACTTAATATCAATAGTAGTAATTGATATTATTGCCATTTTAATTATTTCAGGAATTGTTACAAAAATGGCACACGGCATTTGAGCGTTGACTGGCTTTGCGATTCACTGCGGGAAGGAGAATGCAAAGATTATCCAATCTATGCGGTTGTATTGTGTTAGTAATATATAAGGTTAAAATTTTAAACAATTTTTAAAATTTCATAATTTAAATTTACATTACAATTGTACATATATATGCATGTTTATCCAAAATATTAATTGTAATTACTCAAAAAATTAAAGCTTTGCACCGCCAAGCACAACAACGTTATCACACCAGCTGAAATAAGCGAATTACAAGCGATGAATTGAATATTTTTATATTTTGAAAAGTTAATATTTTAAAATACATACATACAACATAACATATATTTTTTTCATGGTAATATTTTCTATCTTTTGAAAAGCATAGGATTGTTTACAAACACATAAAAACAGTTCATAAGAAATTGTAATCAGTCGTGACATAGACGTGGGCGAACACAAAAGCGTTTAATATTTTCTGATAAAAAAATTGTGGGTTAGTTTGTACAGCAACATGTCGTTTGAGCTTTGTATGCTAGGTGCAGTTTTTATTTATCTGGTCTATCCTTGGGCTACAGCAAATTTTCACTTCTCCGGAAAGCGTCTAATACCCTATGATGAACCTTTCCCGGTGTTTGGTTTGTTATTAGGTGTGTATTAAAACACTAAAAATATTTTTTTTCCTACAGCTAGTTTTAAATTTAACGCCAGTTTTGTATATTGGCTGTAGTCAATACTTTCGTGTGTTCGTTTTGAGGTCGTACGCACGGTGTCTTTCTTTCTTCCAATAGAACAATACTCCAGTCACTCCAGTGACCATCAAAACAAGTTGAAAGAATGGTATTTCAGGGATAGTAGCCGAAATCTAGCCTAAATTTTAGCTCAAGTGGAAGGTTCTATCACCTTTTGTGTTTCTGCTAGGTGTCTCAAATATTGCAAAAAAACCGTTTTTCTCAAAATCTAAATCAGTGTTGCCCTTTTTTATACACGAAACCATAAGTTTTTCTAACGAAATCTAACCTCAATTACATCGGCAACCTATTTTAAAATTCTTTAAGAATTCTTTACCTCTATACTCTTGCCACCAGCAAGCCTGATGAATTAATTTAATTTTACCTTTTTAAATACGTGACAGTTCAGAAATAGAGCCCTTTTTAAACCCATTTCATTTGATACTAATATTTTTAACATTTGCTTTAACTTATTAAATAATTTGAGTTTTCCTTTTTAAACAGGTGGCAATTCTCTTTAATATTCTAAATATTCAAACTAAGGATATCTTGCCACCTTCGTTTCACGTCATATTTGAATATATCATTTAGATTTTGTTTACTTTAATTAAATTCTAATTTTAAAACATATGGCAACCATCTTCAAAATATTTTAAAACCAAAACTTTGTTAAACCTTTTTCGACTTACACACATATTGCGATACAAGTTTTAATTGTCTATATAATTCCCTTAATTCAAGTTGAATTTAATTTCTAAAACATATGGCAACCCGCTTAAATAAGGTATTTTTAACCCATGTCAATTTATACCCATTCTTTAATAATTCATTTGACTTTTTAAATAATTTGAGTTTAGCTTTTTACACAGGTGGAAACCTTATTTTATGTTACAAATGCTCAAACCAAATATCTTTTAATACTCCATAGCTCGGCGCTAATATTTCAATATTTCATATAATTTAATGCTACAGATGGCAATCCTATTGTATTGTGATACATATTTTACTTATGCAGTTTAAAAATAAATTCTCTTTAAAGCAATTTTGATTTATACTCATATTGAAGTAATTTCAAGCTATTGCTTATATTGAATCTAACTTTGTAACAAGGTGGCAACTCTCTGCAAAATATTCTCAAACCACAACCTCTTTCGTCTGACATTCATATCAGGATATACATTTCAATTTTTCTACCTTTATTTAAGTCGAACTTGCGTTTTGAAACAGGTGGCAACCCTCCTACATATAACAAAGAAATAAAGCCTCGTAGTGTAATTATTGATTCAACTTAAAAATAACTTGAATTTATTTTTTTTTATCAGGCGGAAATTCTTTTTGAAAAAATAGGAAGTTATTGCACATCCAGGGGTCAAGCCCTTTAATTTGATCCACCACTTTGTAAAATCGAACGAACGGTACAGATGTGATATGATTAAAAAGGTTTCGCGTATTATCATACTAATATTTGTAGATTAGTTACTAAAAGAAAAACAGATCCATAATATAATAGATCCACATTACTTCAACAAGTACTTTCCAGATTGTTTAGCCAGTTTGAACTCGGCGAACGTTCTTGACTTTTTGTGCTATATAAAACGCACTCTGCGCGGGGCAGCCACTAACCTTACTTATGTACATAGATTTAGCATGCAGGAATTTCTAACAGGTAAACCTGAAAACGTCCAATTATCTTTTCCTGTTTTTCGGCTTTGATCATCATTTATTGCAAAAACTTCAATGAAAGTTGTCAAATGTGTGGTTTTATTCTAAACAAACATATCGTTACTACAGCATGGAAAGAGCGTATCTCACATCGTCGCTGAAATGCAATTTTTTATTGCATAAAATGATGTGGTGACTTACAATTTGATAAAATGCAATATAAATTATAATTTATAATAAACAACGAGTAAATTTTGGATTTTTAGTTAGTTACGATTCTTTATATTTCAGCGACGATGTGAGTTAAGCCCTTTCCATACTATAGAATGATATGTATGTACATTAGAGTGGTCCAAAAAAATAAAGTCGGAGTTTTAATGCCCGCACACCCTAGGATTGATCTATATCGAAAAAAATATACCCCTATTTTTTATTTTGAAATCCAAAAATATTTAGGGAGTGCTCAAAGCGCTCAAAGTTTTCCATGTATTTTATATGGAGGAAGAACAATGTTTCGTAGAAATGGTATAAAACTCTTGAAAATCAATATTTTTCGACCGGAAAACTGTGGTTCTCTGCAGGAGACTTCCAGTATTAATATCCAATTGTTTATTTAACCATTTTTTATGATTAAAGATTTTTTATTGGACCCCATTGCATTTTCTAAGGGCTTTAGAGGACCTATAAAATATAGTTACCATGAAAAAATTTTTAAAGAAACAAACACTGGGAGTCTCCTGAAGATAACTAAAGTTTTTCTATCGAAAAATATTGATTTTCAAGAATTCTACACTACTTCTACGAAAAGATGTTTTTTCTCCATATAAAATATGTACATGGAAAACTTTGAGCGCTTTGAGCACTACCTAAATTATTTTTTATTTCAAAATAAAAAAATATGGGTATATTTTTTTTTGGTATATAACAATCCTAGGGGGTGGCGGCATTAAAAATCCGACCTTATTTTTTTACATACATTTTTCGACCACTTAATGTACATACATACATATGTACGTATATATACGTACATACAGTGGTCGAACAAATTATAGCCGCGCCACATTTTTGCAAGTGCTATCATATAATTTTTTTGTAATTTAATTTTGCTTATTTTTTATAAAACTAGAGTTTTTTTTAAAGAAATTCCGTGTAAATTTAAGTTGAAAACTTTGTACAATATTTAAAAAAATTTAACCACCTATCGTAAAAATCTCGAGATTTTTATACCAGGTTTCCAAGAAAGATTCTGAGTATGCGGTTTTGCAGCCTATTCAATTCTAGTAGAATAAAGTACAGGTTTCAAATGGCTTCAAATTATGGTTGATTTTTCATAATTTTTTTTATAAAAATAAACTGTATTTATTCGTGATATCATCGCTCCAAGAGAAGAGTAGCACCTCTCAATGTCAGATTCTCGCATGGAAGAGTAGCACATTTCAGATCCTCGCGTGGTAGACAAAACTTATAACTATGTACTACTTTTCACTTTTTTCTACTAGAATTCTATTGGCTGCAAAAGTGCATACTCGGAATCTTTCTGGGAAATCTAATTAAGAAAGCTCGAAATTTTTACGAAAGTTTGTTGCATTTAGAAAACTCATCCCTTTCGATGTTATGAGCTTTTCCGATAGTCTTATTTTGCACCTATGAGATCTCTGATCTTTATTCTTACGTAGATGATTATATTGACGACGACAGAGTTACATCACTACTTATATTTTTTAGCGACACATAGGGTTCTTCTTATTCTTTTATTACAAATTCGTGATGTCGCTGCCGGGTTCAAAAAGTTCATGTAATAGTACAAATTTGATTAGCTGCGCCAGATTAACGTTGCCGTCTGTCTAGGTTATCATATAAAAGTGCAGCAAACTTTGCAAAAAATAAGAATAATTTCCAGGTTGAAATAAAAAATAAACAGCTCTATCGTAAACCCTACTTAAGTTTTATTTAATTGCTCTACATGAGCATGGTTCCGCCTTGTTAGTTGTTGTTGCACCGAAAATCACTACAACGTTATCACACCGGCCGAAATAAGAAAATGATAAAAGGCCAATATTTACATATGTATGTACTTTACATTGTTATCAAGCTTTTTAAGAAAGCTCTGCAAATTAAAATTTTAGTCCGATATCGGGATTGTTTATAAAAAGAACAGTTAAATTGAAAATACAATCAGTCGCGAGATAAACGTGCGAGAACACAAAAGCGTTTAATATTTTCTCATAAAAAAGTTTGGAATAATTTTTTAAAACATAATGTGGTTTGAACTTTTTATACTTGGTGCAATTTTCATTTATCTGCTGTATCGTTGGGCTACAGCAAATTTTGACTTCTTTGAAAAACGTCAAATACCGTATGATAAGCCTTTTCCGGTGTTTGGTAGCTTCAAAAAAGTGATGTTGCATAGACGCTCAATGTTTGATGTTGTAATTGATCTTTATAATCAACACAAGGGGCGGTAAGTTTTGTACAAGTTTCCAAGAGAAATAGAACCGGTATCATAATTCGTTGATAATAAAAATCATTATTAGTACCTATTAATTAATTAGTTTACAATAATAAAATTGGAACAGTCAATTTGGCTCTTGAGGTCGAGGAAACTATCTAACGGGTAAAAAATATACCGTCTTCGATCCCAACTCGCAATTTGACAGAAAATATGTTTAATTGTTATGAAAATATGTTAACTGTTTTTTAATTAAAACTTAAGTCGAAAAAAGTAGAATAGATGAATAAAATGCTGAAAGGTTTCGTCTTCCATATGCTAGTGCATCACCGGTGATTACTTCGAAAAACTACTCCTAGGTACCAGCATATCATCGGTGATACACTTGTAGACCTCTAAAATATCGACTCTACCTTTTCGGTGGAGGGAGTATAAGAAAGTTTTTAAAATTTTACATATACAGCTTAGGCGATGCTTCAAATGCTTCATCATTATTTTTGAAATCTTGGAATTTTGACAAAGATCTGAGAGCAGTTGCGAAACCTGATAATTGGGAAAAATAAGGTGACCCGATTTCTGAATTTAAATTTTTTTGGTGGAAAGTGCAGAAAAAGTAGAAGTTTTGAAGAAAATCGATTCTTATGTTACATATAATAAATGTTACATGATAAAAACTAGCTAAAAATATTTGTAGGGCTCCATCAAACGAAAAAAAAATCACATGAAATTATGATTTTGTTTTGAGTTTTCAGAAAAATTTTAGGAATGCAGTTTTATATACCGCTACATTTTTTTATAATAAAGTGCAAGTTGCACGTGGCTACGAGATTGCGTTGATTTTTAATAATATATATATTACCGGCCAAACCCGATCTTTGGACAAACTAGTTTTTCCTAAGCTAAACTAGTTCTACTTAGAGCCAATATATCCGTCCAACGCGGAAACAAGTTGGACGCAACAATTAGTCTGTTCCTTTGAACTTCGGACTAAAACCCGTGGAACTGTCAATCTACAATTTTACTCTCTCAAGTGAGAGTAAAAGAAAAACAGATGCAGAAGTGCACGGGAACGCAAAAAGCAGTATTTCCTGTAAAAACGTCAGTCGGTTTGTTTACACGTCATTTGTACAACACTGATTTGGCTGAAATTTCACTAAGTAATTATTAAAATCTATACATATTCAAATATCTCGTTCTTTACTTCCATTTTTTGTTTTTTACAAATATAAAGTTCTTTCTAAATCCTGTAACTTCTGACTAGGAACAGTTGCTCAGTTTCTCTCTCAAAAGTGTTCCCACTTACAGGTTTTATGTTAATAGGAACGACTTCCTGTAAGTTCTGACTAAATCCTGTAAACCGGACTGCTATTGGAACAGACGTAAAATTGTGGACTAAGTAGATGGAGTTGGACTGATGAGGGTTATTTTTTTGAAGTGGGGCCGAAGGCCGCCTACGCGGAAAGGTGTTCTGCGCAAAAATACTGTGGCCCTTATCTAGTTTAGCCTAGGCAAAACTAATTTGTCCTAAGATTGAGTTTGGCAGGTAACATATATATCTTAATATATAAAAATCCCATGTGACTGTGTTCGTTTACGCTAATCTCCGAGACCGCTTAACCGATTTCATTGAAATTTTGTGAGTGTGTATTGTTGGTTCTAACTTAAAAGATAGAATAGTGTTGAACCCGAGAAAACATTTTTTTTCATCGAAATTTTTTCTATGCTTCTCGCAGTGTTCTTAAAAGTGCCTGTGTATCTATTTTTAAAACTGCATACCTAAAATTTTTTTTTAAGAATTAAAAAAAAAGTTTTTTTTGCGGATTTTTTCGGTTTTAGGGAGTTCTACAATCGTTTTAAACTATTTTTTATTATGAAACAATTATTAACACTAGAATTTTTTTTCTCCCAAATTGCTACTATTTCTTTACTTTACACTAAAAAATTTAATATAAAAGTTCGAAAATCGGGTCAGCTAGTCTCTTGCTAATTTCTTAAAATGTCATTAAAAAAAAGTAATCAAATTGAGTGAAAAATGAAGGCTTCATTGAATTATGAACAAGAAATGTAAATTTTGGGTCACCGGGGATACTATAGTCTCAAACAAGTACGAACCTGTCTTGGCATAACTACCAATTCTGTTACAAAATAAATATGAAGGTATTCGGCTAATCATAACATGAATATTTTTGGTTGACACCTTGGGGTAGATTTTCGATGTGATCACCGGTGATGCTGAGGCAGACAACGTGTTAAAAGCTTTTTTTTTATTTTATACTATTTTTACTCATCATTATTTAGTAAGCATTTTATTGAGCCATGTTTATTCATTTAATTTCTTCTTTTTTCCGAAATTTCAGTATTTATGGCGTATTTTATCAAACAACACCGATGTACCTAATTCGAGATACAGATCTTCTGCGACAAATCACAGTAAAGGACTTCGATCACTTCCTGAACCACAATAACTTCTTTGGTGAGGATTCCCATGAACTCCTTACAAAGTCTTTGTTTCAAATGAAAAACGACAAGTGGAAAGATATGCGCAGCACATTGAGTCCAGCATTTACTGGCAGTAGGCTACGTCAAATGTTTGAGTTAATCAATCAGGTGGCCGAAGACAGTACAAACTATTTGCACAAACTACATTCCAAAGAATCCTGCAATGGTATTGAGTTAAACTTAAAGGACTATGCAACGCGTTTCACAAATGATGCCATCGCATCAACAGCTTTCGGCTTACAAGTGAACTCTTTTGAAGAAAAGGATAATACCTTCTATATGTTGGGAAGAAAGGCGACTTCGTTTTCATTTTGGATGAACTTAAGATTACTGTTGATCATACAGTGCAAAGGCTTGGCAAAGGTTAGTATGGTTTTGTAAATGATGAATGATTGAAGCGTTTAAGAAATCGATGTCCTCTCTATCGAAAGGATAACCAAAGTAGCAGGTCTGTCTAAGGCTTTCCAATAATTACTCTCCGATTGTGAGTTAACACAGTCAGTAATTTTTAGTCTCAAAAAGATCAAATGATAACACAAAATGGTTTCGGTCTCACCAAAGCGGATGCAGAGGCTTCTTTCGCTAGTTCGTCCGTAATCTTTTTCCTCGTTGACAAGAGTTAAAGATGATTAATATGGAAAGGCCCTGATGGCCGCTTGGTCTGACACTAAGGGGACGCTATCAAATGTTTTTCAACGGATCTTCTGGTACTGGTCTACATTGATATGGGGGCTAGTGCCCTCAGTTGGCAATGAAAAGTTTAGTGTCGGGTCCATAAAAACCCACAATTTTTCTATCTTACATTCCTTGGTCCTTATATCAATGTACGTATGTATATGGGATCGAGAATTCCTGTTCTGGGATTTTTACTAAAATTTCCTGTTAAATCGGATCGTTTTTAATATAGACTCAGCAATCGCGCATCTTTATAACACTGCGATCGTCCCCAACATATGTGTCTCTCATATGCTGGCTATTATGAAGAGTACCGTCAGATATTCGTTGTTACAATTACATATCTGGAGGCAGCTCAGAAGCGACTCAAGAGCTGCAGCAGAACAAATTCTCATTGATCTTGTGACTGAAAGGTAGTCTTTAGAGTTTAGTCAAACGTTGAATGGCAGTTTTATGTACATATTTATGTATTATTTTTGGCCACCAACTGCAAAGGCGTAGACAATTACATATATATTATACATTTATATTGGGTGAACGATTATGCTGTATATCCAAATTTTTCTAAGCTCAAAGAGTCGCATTTGTCATCTGTTGATCTATGTATACCAAATGTAGATATAAAGTAGTTGGATAATTTAGTGTTTGGCCGATATCTTCAGTTTTGGAAACAGGATATAGAAGTACGAGGCTAAATCGGTAGGAAATGGTGAATAAGGTAGCAATTCGTAGTCAAAATATGGATTTTTTTACTTGCCGACTATGCACGTCTGCACTCTAACATTGTCACTGTGGACCAGGAATCCATCGAAATTGGCCAAAATTCAAAATATTATCGGAGCTTTTGGGGTCGCTGATATGACGAAAGATATTTTGAAAATTGGGCGAATTAGCTTGAAACTTTTTGCTCAGGATTTTTTGGGGTTGGGGAGTTGCCAGATTCTGAAACGGAGAAAGGAGTACATTTCTATTTTCGATAGAAAAAAAAGCAGTACAAACATAAAAAGGAGTAACAATTTTTTTAATTTTTTGTGCAATTTATTGTTACAAATTACCAAAAAGTAAATATATGTATAATCACATATTTGAGATCGTTTCTATTAATTAGGTAGAAACAAACAAAAATATTTTAGATATCTTTTTCAAAGCGAAAATGAATAAAAAAATAAATAACTAAATTCCACAAAAAAAAATTCCAGACTCTGCCATTTTTAATTTAATATTTTTCTGATTTTTATATTTTATTTTATATTTTTTATTACGATCGATGTTTAAGAATTGGATGTTAGATTTCAAAAATTCAAAATCGTGTACTCAGTTTGAAGTGCGAAGAAATTTCTGAAAGAATTGAATCTCAAAAAATTTAACGAATTTTTGGGTTACTGTTTAGGAATTTAAGTTTAAATTCTCAAAATTCAAATAACTGGGAAGCATAGAGGGGATGCAGGTGGCCAAAACTCATGTTGCCTTCAATCTCAGAAGGTCCATCTAGTTTTTTGCTCTCACTGAGCAGACCGGCCTCAAGGTGGACTGCTGACTGATCACTTCACGTGGCACAAACACCTCACTGTGATAGGCGTAAATGATAACTCCCTTTGCCCATCCTGCCTTTAAGAGGATGAGACGTTGGAACCTTTCTTGTACTTCTTGCTTGCTCGGTTGTTTGCCACCGATTTGTCGATATTCGGTCTTTTCTATATTGTCAGTTTCTGAATTTAAAGTTTGGCGTAAAACGCTTTGTCGGCTTTGTTGTTTCAATTAGTAATAATAATTTTTATCTTAAAAGGTGACAAAATATTTAACTTTTTCGCAAGTTATTCTAAAAATTGTTTGTAAACTACTTTCATTTATCTATAAGTCGAAAATAAAACCATTTAAATCAAATTCAATACATCACTTTTGGCCACTTTTGGCTAAACTTTGGCACTGTCCGAGTTTGTCCGCTTTCAATGGCAGAAAAACTTTGAATTTAAAGTAAACAAAAATAAAATTATTTTGCACTTAATTATTTTCCTACATGTTTGGCCGAGCCGAGTTGTAACACAACTGGAGGAAACCACAGTTTTACGCCGCCTATGAGCGGCAAAATATGTCATTGGCCCATTGGTTCCCTCACAGTACATATGTATCTTCCTATGAAGACATGCAGAATGGGAGAAATACATTATTCCCAAAATCAGAATCCCAAACACGAAATCCCCACACTTTTTTGGTGACAGTGTCACAAAATCCCCAAAACACAAAATCCCTAAACTTTTGAAAATGGTTCAATTTTTTTTTTTGAATTAAAGTTTTTCGTTCTTTACATGGGAAGCGACGAAAATGTCAAAAGCAAAGCAATACACTTGAAACGCCTTGACGGTAAAGGCGAATGTGTACTTTTCCCTTCTTACCCCTTCTCTTCCACTAACACGCAGAATTAAATTCAATACTTGAGCCTATAGTGCAACAAACAGGCGAAGTAATAAATCAGCTATTTCGATTTATTTTCTGTCAATCGGCCATCTTATAAATCATTTTAACGACGAATTTTCAAGTAAGATAGTGTAAAAGCGAAATATATTCTTTTTTTTAATTATTTATTAAAGCTTATACAAAAAATCAATATAAATCCTCCTCCTCGCTCTCATTACATCACCAGGTACAATTTCACCATGACTTGAACCGTTTAAAACCTTCATAAATATTTTTAATTTATGACAATATTTATATATAAGTACATGGTTATGTATGTACATAAATACTAGGGATGTTTCGAATGTCATATTTGTCACATTCGCGAATGCAAATGAGAATTTTCGGAATGCGAATGCGAATGTTAGGAAAAACATTAAAAAAGCTATAATCAACTTAAGTCATCGTTTTTATTACTTAAACATTTTGTAAATTATTAGAACATTGAACAAGTGCTTAACCTATAAAGTGTTTTAATCTAATAGTCAAAGTTCAAAAGGGGCATATTATATTTCAAAAAAAGTAATTTTGTTGCCTTTTCTCTCATGAGGCGATTTCATAGAGGCTCGCATATAGGGCCGGCTGCACTGAACAATTGCTCACTTGGAACGATGGCGGTTGGAGCGTTCAAATATTTGCGGGCCAGAGCTGTAAATTTTTTGTATTTTAGTTGAGTTTTCCACCAATCGAGAGGATTTTCACCGAGATGAGCTGGTTTTCTTTAGGATAGGCCTTCAATAGAGCTTTAATTTCTAATTCTTTAATGTCTCCAGATTCTATATACGAGTTTTCACATTCGCTGGAAGAAATTTGTGTTTATGTAAATTCATGCTAAATATATTCCTAAGTCTTTGCGATGTACTACGTTTTCTTTAATTTTCATTTACCTAATAAATTTTTTGTGAATTCATCATCATAAAGTTATTCCGCGGAAAATTCAAAAAAATTATTAAGCTCTCTATCCCTCTAATACTGCCAATTTTGGTGTGCATCTTAACAGCTAAAGCCATTTTTAATTAACCGACTTCCAAAAAAGGAGGAGATTGTAAGTTCGTCGGAATATTTTTTTTTTTATGTATGTTACCGCATAACTTTGGACCACATCAACCGATTTCGATAATTCTTTTTGCATCGGAAAGGTGGTGTCTCAGAGGTGGTACTAATCTGGTTAAGATCCGATCAGTGGATCATGAGATATATATATATACATATATATATTTTATATGAGAGTTGAAATCGGTTTTTATTTTGCTAAAAATAATTATTTCCTTTTTGGTTGTTGTTGTTTCCGACAGGGTGGGTGTATGATGTATTATGGAACGAATTTCCGTCATCCCTTGTCAAATTTGGTTTGGAGACAAACCGGTTTCGGCGTTGTGCCATCTTCAGTGTCATTTTTCGTTCTCCGAGAACCGGTTTGTCTCCAAACCAAATTTGACAAGGGATGACGGAAATTCGTTCCATAATACATCAATAATAATTACTTGTTTTAATTGTTGATTTATATACAAACATTAGTAGATAATATATTGATATATGCACATATGTACATATGAACTCATATGTACCTACATATGTATGTAATTAAGGTTTTTGCAGTAACATTTCTATATCTTAACGAAATTGCAGCTTCTTCGAATTGAGTTCGTTGACAAAAACTCAACTAAGTACTTCTGTCAACTAGTTCTAGATGCTTTTAAATATCGCAAAGAACGAAATATTCGTCGGCCTGACATAATTAACTTGCTAATGGAGGCCCGCGGTCTCTTTCCTACCGACTCGCCAAAGGCACATAATCGTGAATGGACCGACACGGAAATGGTGGCGCAGTGCTTCCTTTTCTTTTTCGGAGGTTTTGAAACTATGGCGACACTGATTTGTTTTGCAGCATATGAATTAATGGGGAATCCGATTGTACAAGAAAAACTGTTTGAAGAGGTTGAAGAAATTAATAAACGACGGGAAGGTAAAAGATTGACATATGAAGATTTACAAGGGATGAAATATTTGGAAATGGTTGTAAATGAAACTTTGCGAAAATGGCCACCCATTATAACACTCAATCGAATTTGTACAAAAGATTTTCTATTCGAAGCCGACGGCGAACGTATGGAAATAAAGAAAGGCGAGGTTATTTTGGTGCCAGTGTCAGGTATTCATCGCGATCCGCAGTACTATCCAAATCCAGATAGTTTTGATCCTGAACGCTTTAGTGCCGAGAACAAGGACCAAATCAAACCATTTACTTTTCTGCCTTTTGGAGAGGGACCACGTAACTGTATTGGTGAGTATTGAAATTCGATGCTTGTTTTAAGCTACGTATTTTTTTTAATACTTCGTATTTAGCTTCACGCTTCGCTACGCTGGAAGCAAAGGCAATACTCTATTATTTAGTGCGCGATTTTCGCATCACCGCTGCCAAAAGGACTGCATTACCAATCGAATTGGAGAAAAACGGCTTACGTGTAGCGCCAATAAATGGTTTCTGGTTGAAGCTTATCGCGCGAAATAAGATATAAATTGAAATTGGAGACTGTCATGAAAAATTAATGATTTGGTTTATCAACAAGACAAATTGAAGAAAAAGTTAAAATACATTTAACATAACGTCTTCATTAATTAGTCTTTTGGAAGAGATCTTCAATGAAATATATTAGTGCTGGGAATTATCGATACCAAAAGTACTCAGAACTCGATTCTCAGAAGGATCGCTAGTACCCGATTTTTAAAAATATCCATACTGAGTACTCCATAGTACTCAGTACTCACAAAAGAACTCGAAACTACTGAGAACTCAAAAGTACTCTGTTACAATTATCACCTTGATACATGTACTCAGGATCGATTCAAAGTACTAAGTATTAAGTGTCGAATAGATACTTAAAAGTACTGAGTTCTATTTACATTTACCGGTATTCAGAAATGATTGTACTCAATTTCAAGTTTCAATCATTTTCAAACACAATACTTGTACCCAGTACAATAATTTGCGATTAATGTATTAATTTGAATAAATTACTGCCAGCTTGCGAGATACCAAAGTTTCTCTGTAATTATCCTTTGATTTAGTGTTCGTATAGTCGTGGCTCTTGTTATCCTATAAAACAAACAAAAAAAAATTGTATGTATTGACAGTAGTATATTATATATCTATATATGCATAAGTATTTAATTTTTGTGTTATATCTTTGTATTCATGTATGTATTTTATTTAAATTAAGTATACTCACACACCCGCAGGCAAGCAGTACAGCTTCGCGGGTTCCGTTCTAAATTTTAAGGTGAAATGTAAACCAATTCGAATTTAAATAAATAATAATATATAATAATAATCTCTACACTAAACATTGAAATGTTACAACCATTGGTATAATTAAAGAAAGTACCCAGTACTCTCGAAATAACCGATCCTGAAAGGTATCGCTACCAAATAACTATATTCTAAAAAATACCCGATTCCTCCCAACACTAAATTATATCCAGCAGCAACTTGAAAAAATTCTATTTTGAATTAGAACATATCAAGATAAAAGTTCGCGAACGCAAAATTAGCAAACACTTGAAAGTTTTTAAGAAACTGAGTATTTGGTGTTTTAATAAGTTACTTTATAACTAAAAATTATCAACATAAACTTCATTATTTTCATAAGTTGCAGACTGTTGACTTTTATAAGCTGTTTTTATTATTATGTATTATTATTATTAATATTATTATTAAGACGTAAAATCTTGTTTTTGTACATTTTCTTGCTGGTCGCTAGAATTTGAAACTTTCCCTCAAAATCAGCTATCACTTTGCTCTCTCAATTTCACTTACTGTGCAAGTGGTTTGCCTACCCGAACGACAAAATCTGATAGTTTGTGATAAATATACTTGTACTTATATATGTTCAGTCCCAGTCACTTGAATGGCACACCGTTTTGATTTTCAGTATGTACAGTTTTCCTTTTGTTTGAATAATATTCATTATTTTTTTTTCCCAAAAATATAGCAGATTCTGCACTGCGAGCCGAAAACTTTCGGGTATGCTGTTTTGTAGCCCATGTAATTTTAGTGTAATAAAGTGCAGTTTCAAGTGCCTACAAAACACCGTGAAATTTTGAGAATTGTTCGCGCATTTTCTTACTTATAAAAATATTGTCGAGCATACTTTTTAGATATGGAAAAAATGCATGTGGCCAGCTGTATAAGTTAAGTAACATTTTGACTAGCTTTGACTATTTTTTCTTTTGTTTTTGCATATTATATAACAAGCCCCGTTTAAATCTACATTTCAAACTTTGTACAAAAATTATAAAAATTCATCAAACTTTACCAATTTCCCTCAAAAATTTCAAACTTTTTATTAAGAATTTTTAGAAAAAAATTTATATAGGCAGTTTTATAACCAATTGAAACCCACAAAGTGCCAGCTTCAAGTCAATAGAAAATTGCGTTGATTTTTCATAATTTTTTTACCTGGCGGTATTGTGCATTCTCTTCCGTATAAAGTATGCTCGATAATTTATTTTATTTGGAAGTAATCAGCATCCTTGACATCCGGGAAATTAGATATGCATCAAGGGGCCCAAATTTATAGTATAATTATTTTACCGTTTTATTATTATTATTTACTTTATTGTAATTTGTCTGTACAATTATTGTATTATGTTGTATTTGATCCTGTAGACATATGTTAAGATCTTGTAATACATATTGTAAGCAATGCATGTGATTAAGAAAATGAAATAAATGGATATGAGAGTGACTATATTTTATTACTCCATGAGGAGGGATTTGGGAGTATAGAAAAAATTTCTTCTCGTTCGAATCTGTATTGGTTTTCTATTGGCACAAAGTGCTGGCTTATAAGTCCTAAACGATTCATATGTGTTTTAATCGCAGATTTTTTCGGGGTTTCAGGATTTCTAAGCGACTATTCTCTCTGCATGCCAACGTCACACATGAGATGGGTCGCGGACTAATTGTGTTCCAATTATGCCCGTGAGGGGCGAGTCGAGACTAATTGTTCTCCACTAATAGCCGTTTGAGACTATTTGCGACTAATTAATACCCAAATGTACCCGACTGAGACTAATCCTGGAATTGCAGGGAATTTTTGAAGGTAGTTCTATATCTTTATTAATACTCCATAAAACTTAATAGATGAAAAGCCATATTTAAAAATACTGTTACGCTTTATCATTGAAGTGTAGTTAGATGATTTCCTAAATCTTTCTGCTTTGGCCACAATGCCTGCCACTATAAACTTATGAACATTATCATTTTAATAACAAACACTCATTTCATGCTGAAGCAACGATTCTACATACCAAAAAAATATACTCAGCTTATCTGACATCTTTATTTGACCGTAAATCTGCCCAAATTTATTTGAAAACTTTCTTGGTCTTTTAGAATTGATCTGTAAATATGACCCTCCCTTGCATGAACATTTCGAAGGAGGACTTTCAAACAAATAAGAAACGTCTTCAAGTTCATTAGTTGTCTTCTGAAATACAAAATGAATGCTGTGCATGTCAAGTTATTCGCATGAATAGAAAAAGAGAGAGAGAGAGAGGCAGTCAAGTATTACACAATTATCGTTGTTGTTGTTGTAGCAGCATACAAATTCCCCAAAGACTTTTTGGGGAGTGTTGCTGGAGTGACAGTCCTTGGCCAGATATAAATCTGGGTCGTTCCGGTTACGTAGACCCGACTGTCGTGGGAACGACACAATTACAAAAGGCCAACATTCCACTGGCTGACTGTCGTGGAATGGGTGTAACAATGGCAGTAAAATGAGCGGCAATTACAAAGAAGCACAGAGGCATATTCTGGTTCACATGGGCGTAGCAAGTAGGGGCAGGGGAGTGCTCGAGCCTCCCCCCCTAACTTTCAAATTTTCCTTATATAAATATAAAATAGTACCCTGAAATGCCAGCTTAATAGGGTCGAGCCCCAACGCCTCATAGTTGTCCCTTTCACACTCTGGAAAAGCGGATTTTCTTTAGGCCCTTACCACGATGCAGCGAAACAAAGGTGGCGCCTGTACCAATTTGCCGAAAAGTTGTACCTAAAAGTATATATACGTACCTAAACAGTAAACATGTATTTTTATGTGCATACATTTTTGGTAGTTGGTGGACTACATCTTCCTTTGTACCATAACAACTTTTCTACTTACACAAAACAATATTTTACTACGTTCCAAATGTACCTAAAATAATGTGCTTGTACCGAATGCACGCTCCAATTTAAGATGATGAAGAGTAGGTACAATTCAACCTAGTTTTACATCATTATTTCGCACCACTTGTTCGCTTCTTCCTCTTCTTCTTCAAAATTATTATTTACACTCTCATTCTCAAAATAATGTGACGTGGCACCCAGTTGCTCTCAGCTCAATTGGCGCAATCTTGTATTCTATCATTCTTGGGCCCTTACTAATCCTTGGGGACTCTTATTTTTCTAACTAACTCTTAATTCACGCAATATTCAAAGCCCAACATGTCTCTGTGTGTACATAGGGGTGGTCCAACAATGCATGCGAAAGAGTAAAGTCGGCATTTTAAGGCTCTCACCCCTCGAATTATTCTATACCCAAAAGAATATACCCCTATATTTTGGAATCAAAAAATATTTAGAGGTCGCTTAAAGCGCTCAAACTTTTCCATGTATTTTATATGGAGAAAAAACTACTTTTCGTTGAAATGGTATAGAATTTTTGAAAAGCAATATTTTTCAAAGGACTCGCGATAATAATACCCAATTGTTTATTTAATGTTTTCATAGTAATTATATTTTTAGGACCGCCAAAAACCCCTGAAAATGCAATGGGGGACCCATAAAAATGGCTAGTATTACAAAATGGTTAAATAAACCATTGGGTATTATTATTGGCAGTCTCCTAAAGAGGACCATAGTCTTCCGATTGAAAAATATTGGTTTTAAAGATTCCTATACTAAATAGGTTTTTTTTTCATATTATGTAATTGCATGGAAAATTTTTAGTGAGTTAAGCGACCTCTAAATATTTTTTGATTTCAAAATAAAAAATAGGGGTATATTCTTTTGGGTATAGAATAATTCGAGGGGTGAGAGCATTAAAATGCCGACTTTAATTTTTTTTCTGATCACCCTAATGTGCCTACATATGTACTAAAACTCTCAAATACTCAAACAATTTTTTCATGGTTTGGCATTAATTCGTTTTCTTTGAAGAAAAAAAAAACATTATTATAGTATTTCATAAGTAATAACCTCAAAGGTCGCATAGTTATAGGTGCTATAAAATAGAACCCGTTTTGCGGCGTAAATAATAAATACAGGCTACATTGTTATGATATTAAAGCAAATGCAATTTGTGTTTCGGAGTGGAAAAAATAAATATTTAAGCCTTAGGGGAACAGTTTGCATGCACATTTGACCAATTACGAACAATTTGTAGCAAAGAAAGCTTTATCTATGAATTTATTATAACAGTGCTATATACGTACATACATGAATAAATACTTGCGTTTTTAATGAAACTTAAAG